GGGCCTGTTCCGGAGCTCCGCCGGAGGGGGCATCGATCGCGGAGGGCTTCTACATCAACACCATAGCCCCTCCGATAAAGTGTGAGTAGTTTACCTCAGATCTACGGGTCCATAGTTATTAGCTAGATGGCTTCTTCTCTCTTTTTAGATCTCAATACAATGTTCTCCCCCTCTCTTGTAGAGAACTATTCGATGTAATCTTCTTTTTGCGGTGTGTTTGTTGAGACCGATGAATTGTGGGCTTATGATCAAGTCTATCTATGAACAATATTTGAATCTTCTCTGAATTCTTTTATGTATGATTGGTTATCTTTGCAAGTCTCTTCGAATTATCAGTTTGGTTTGGCCTACTAGATCGATCTTTCTTGCAATGGGAGAAGTGCTTGGCTTTGGGTTCAATCTTGCGGTGTCCTTTCCCAGTGACAGTAGGGACAGCAAGGCACATATTGGATTGTTGCCATCAAGGATAACAAGATGGGGTTTTCATCATATTGCATGAGTTTATCCCTCTACATCATGTCATCTTGCTTAAGGCGTTACTCTGTGTTTAACTTAATACTCTAGATGCATGCTGGATAGCGGTCGATGAGTGGAGTAATAGTAGTAGATGCAGGCAGGAGTCAGTCTACTTGTCTCGGGCGTGATGCCTATATACATGATCATACCTAGATATTCTCATAACTATGCTCAATTCTGTCAAATGCTCAACAGTAATTTGTTCACTCACCGTAGAATACCTATGCTCCCGAGAGAAGCCATTAGTGAAACCTATGGCCCCCGGGTCTATCTTCATCATATTAATCTCTTACTACTTAGTTATTTCCTTTGCTTTTTTACTTTGCCTTTATTTTACTTTGCATCTTTATCACAAAAATACCAAAAATATTATATTATCATATCTATCAGATCTCACTCTCGTAAGTGGCCGTGTAGGAATTGACAACCTCTATTCGCGTTGGTTGCGAGGATTTGTTTGTTTTGTGCAGGTACGAGAGACTCACGCGTAGCCTCCTACTGGATTGATACCTTGGTTCTCAAAAACGGAGGGAAATACTTATGCTACTTTGCTTCATCATCCCTTCCTCTTCGAGGAAAACCAACGCAGTGCTCAAGAGGTAGCAGCTTGCAATAGGGGTTAATCATGAGTGGGGTGCTTGTCCAAGGAAGGACAGTACCCAAGCACCGGTCCACCCACATATCAAATTATCAAAGTACCGAACGCAAATCATATGAACGTGATGAAAACTTGCTTGACGATAATTCACATGTGTCATCAGGAACGCTTTCCTTTATATAAGAGTTTGTCGAGGCTTGTACTTTGCTACAAAAAGGATTGTGCCATCTTGCTACACCTTATTTACTTTTATTACTTGTTGCCCGTTACAAATTATTTTATCACAAAACTACTTGTTACCAATAATTTCAGTGCTTGCAGAGAATACCTTACTGAAAACTGCTTATCATTTCCGTCTGCTCCTTGTTAGGTTCGACACTCTTACTTATCGAAAGGACTATGATAGATCGCCTATACTTGTGGGTCATCATAAACCAATATGTTCTTACAAAACAAGCGATTTTTACTTAGGTAGGTAAATCACGGGCATAATTTTATAAACATTTATTTACATAATCACATTTATAACACACAAGTAATTATCTAGTCTAACAATAATGAGAGCAACTAATTAAGGGATACTCTTGGAGGGCTCCCGTAAAGGTCACTTTCTTGGTCCTCGCGCTGAATGCACCATTCAATTTTTTTTCTACATGTGTTTTCAGGTTTTATGTGAGTTTACTGTATGTGGGAGGGGGGGGCACTTTTTCGTTTTTCCTTGGCTTTCTTGTAGTCTTGAACTGTGCTTCCCAAAATCCAACAGTGAAAACATTTTTTTGGGGAACCACTTTCTCATTTTTCATTTTTTTTTCTAGTTTCCTTTTTTCGGCTCTCGCTTTTACCCGGGGAGGGGGGTGTTATGATGTTTTCATCAAAAACTAACGTGAGATCTGGTTGATCTCGACGTGAGAAATCCAACGGTGAAAACGATTTGTGATTATGATTTTTTTATCGAAAACTATTAGCGTGAGATCTAGTTGATCTCTATGCGAAAAATCCAATGATGAAAACGGTTTGTGATTTGGATGCCTCGACTGAGAAGCATGATGAACAACCTTACTCAAACGAGCCCATTAAGGCACCACATTTCACAAGTTAGAAATGATGCTCGGCTTATGTTGGGCCGCCTCATGAGAGTTTTTGTTTTTTTGGTAGATTCATTTGTTTTTCAAAACATTTATCTCTTGAATCATGTTCAAATACCGAACCATTTTCACTGTTGGATTTCTTGTGTCGAGATCTTCAAAATTAAATCTCATGTTAATTAGTTTCAATAAACTTTTTTTCATGAAAAAACCTGAAGAAAAAACCCAGAGCTGGAAGCATGATTTTTTCCTACTTTTATTCCCTTTGAGAGAAGCACATATCAGTGCCTCCACGGGATGCAAATCTGTGCTTCTTGTGGAAGCACAAAAAAACACGCAAAAACATGATTCTTTTTTCCTTTCTAAAGTAGCGCGGAAGCAAATTTGTACCTTTACGAGAAGCAAATATGTGCTTTTCGTGAAAGCCATTTCCCCCGAAAATAAATCTGTGCCTCCACAAGAAGCAAATCAGTGCTTCTCGTGATAATACCCTTTTTGATAAGCATAATTGTGCTTCTCCCGGAAGCAAAATCTGTGCTTCTCGTTGAAGAAAAAAATTACACAAAATAATCATGATTTTTTCCCTTTCCGACAAGCACAACTGTGGTTCTTGTGGAAGCAAATCTGTGTCTCCACGAAAAGCAAATATATGCTTCTCATGAAAGCACATTTTTTTTGTGCAAAAATAATTTTTTTCGTGTATTTTTTTCTTCAAAATCTAAGATAAACCAGACGTAATCCGAAAAACCAAAACATCCAGAATAAAGCCCATATAAAACCTGAAAACATGTACAGAAAAATAAAACCAACGCCTAGCACGATAAATGGTGGTGGCTGGACACGCCTCTAGCCCACAAAAGTGGCCCTTGGCGCTCTCAGCCCACAAAGATTGCACGCAAGGGTGCCTTTAGCCCACAAAAGTTAGCTGCTCTCTGGATTTTGCTCTTGGAAGGATTCCTGCCTTTTCCACTTCGGCAGATTCCGCCTTCAAATCTCCGCCCATCTCACTTGCAAGGTCTACGAGATTCTGCCCGCCTCCTCCATCAGATCCCTCCCCGCGCCAGATTCCTGCATCTCCTCGTCCGAACCTTCTTTCAGTTCCGTGGTTCCTCTTGCTTTCTGCGGTAAATTCTACTGCCGAATCTTGCTTGACTGTACCAACCAGCTTGCTTGAATCAATCAGTTCGCTAGTTATATGACTGCTGGTGTCTTCCTAGTAGATGGTTTCCTTGAATAGTAAGTTAAATTAGCAGACTAGTAGTAGATATGGTTCTCTATTTATTTTTTTCATTTCTTCTTTTCCCCCTTCAGCCGCGAGTACGACCAAGAAATGTGAGCCGTGAATCACTAAACTAGAGCCACTTTTATTTTAATTTATGTAGTTATGTACGTTTTTATATTGTATGAAGTTCATTCTGATGGGATGATCTACATACTGCAATATATTGGAGCACTGAACTGGTGTGTATCAGCATCAGTGTATGACTGAACTAGGACAAGGTACATGATTGATGTTGTTGATACTTGTTAGGCCTGATGGGAAGCAGAGATGATGATGGCCAAAGCGCAGAAGGTCAGGGTTACGCCGCGGATATCAATTCCATCAGGGAGGCGCAGGCCCGCATCGCACCATACGTGCACAAGACACCCATCCTGTCATCAACTTCTATTGATGCCATAGCAGGGAAGCAGTTGTTCTTCAAGTGTGAATGCTTCCAGAAGGCGTGAGAGTTACTGCCTCCGTGTGCTATTTACCTATTCGATGCTTTGCAGTACATGGTGCTAATTGTTGTGGACATATGTTTGCATTGTGCTGTGTAGAGGGGCTTTCAAGATCCGAGGGGCATCCAATTCAATATTTGCCCTCGATGACAACCAGGCGGCAAAGGGCGTTGTGACGCATAGCAGGTTGATGCTAGCTTCAGTGTTTTGTGGTGACTGTTCCTAACATTCAGAAGAAAATTAAGATACTGATGATATGGTTTCTTCTCAGTGGAAATCATGCTGCTGCTGTGGCACTGGCTGCAAAGTTGCGTGGCATACCTGCTTACATTGTCATACCCAAAAACGCGCCAGCATGTAAGGTTGAGAATGTTAAGCGTTATGGTGGTCAGGTTATCTGGAGCGATGTCACCATGGAATCAAGAGAATCTACAGCTAAAAAAGTCCAGGATGAGACTGGTGCTATTCTTATTCATCCATTCAATGATAAGTATACTATCAGGTAGTCTTTTGCCATCCGAAGCTTTTATTGTTTAATTGTTCCGTATAACATGACAAACATCCTCATTTCCCCAAAACTAGAAATGCTCCCTATAGAGTCCTGACATTTTCCCTAAGGTAGATGATAAAAAAAAAATCGAAGGTACCATATACATCACTTCTGGTAACGTTTTGTAGTTCGGTAGTCCTGAAGTAGTCCTAGTGACTAGACTACTCTTTAGATGTGAAAATTAGCTGGAATTTGAAATTAAAAGTATGTAAAAATTCGATAACTTGCTTACTCAAGACTGATGAACTATTCTTCCAGGGAATGATCACAAGGAGTAAATGGAATGACTACATACTAACCCTGGAATCATATTAGCAATATCATTATCTAAATTTTAGGATTTCATGAATCTTAATTAGTTTCATCCATAAACAGAACCTTCCGAATTTTTAATTATTTTATATAGGACCATTTTGGACTGAATGAATATCATCGACCCAATATTTCCACACACCAAAAAAAAAACGATGTGTTTTATCCAGCATATAATCAATATCTCTGAAGTTTCTTCCACGCGTTGTGTTTGCTCTTAGTGCATAGAGTAACTCGAGTTTTCATTTCCCCTTGAATTTCCCATGAGATATAGGAATTTTACTTGAATGTTTTTCAGTGGTCAGGGAACAGTGTGCCTTGAACTTTTGGAGCAAGTCCCTGAAATCGACACAATAATTGTTCCAATTAGTGGTCTGTACTCTCTTAGCTTCTCCCTAACGTATTTTCTTTGCGTGGAAATCTTTTATAATTTGACACTTGGGAAATATTTTTGGCTAAAATACAGGTGGTGGTTTAATTTCTGGTGTGGCACTGGCTGCAAAGGCCATAAACCCTTCAATACGTATTCTGGCAGCAGAGCCAAAGGGAGCTGATGATTCAGCCCAGTCCAAGGCTGCTGGAAGGATCATCAAACTGCCTGCAACCAACACCATTGCTGATGGACTACGAGCGTTTCACGGTGACTTGACATGGTAAGGCAAATATACATTGAGTATGTTTCCATCATTTTCTGCACGTGCATTACTAACCTGGAATCATACCAAAACGCTGACCTTTAGTTTTTGAATTTTCACGAGAATGTCAATGCTAGCTGAATAGTTTATTTTGCCAAAATTTATCTTGATGCGAACGCCCTGGAATGATCTGTGATGTTAATGCGACTTATTCCGTTGTGATAAAAATGTTTGCTAATGGATAGAACTATGAGGCATGTTTTATATTTAATTTTATGTTCTAGGCCGGTGGTGCGTGACTTGGTGGACGATGTCATCGTCGTGGATGACAATGCCATTGTCGACGCCATGAAGATGTGCTACGAGACGCTGAAGGTGGCTGTGGAGCCTAGCGGAGCCATTGGCCTTGCCGCTGCCCTCTCCGACGAGTTCAAGCAAAGCCCCGTTTGGCATGAGAGCAGCAAGATAGGGATCATTGTTTCCGGCGGCAATGTGGACCTCCGCGTGCTCTGGGAATCCCTGTGTAAATGAAATTGGGGCCGTGCAAAACTGTTTGAATTTGAAATGCACGAGGTGAATGGCTGCAGACATGTAAAAACACCGATTTCTTACTCTTTGTTTGCTGATCTACTCGGTGCAAAACGTTTTACCATTGATTGCTTACAGTGCCCTGGGTATAAAAGCGGCACATCTCCTGGTTAACAAGAACTGGTGCCTTGTGTAGTGGGTAGCACGTGTGTACCTGGCGCCCAAGGTCCGTAGCTGGCATGAACAGTGTAGTCGGTTCTACGAGGACGCGGAGTTTCTGCACCCGAGCTCAAATGAGCCTGGGTGAACAGTAAAATCAAAACTAAATAAAAAAATAAAAAAAATCCAATTTTTTTTGGAGAAACATTGACAAAAGTTTTAAGTGCCTGCAAAAATTCATCATGAAATCACATTTCTAGAAGGCGTGGCAAAAAAAAACAAAATCAGTACTCTGAAAAAGCTACTTTCAACAACATTTTGGAGCACTGAATTTGTTTTTTTGCCACGCCTTACAGGAATGTGATTTCATGATGAATTTTTGCAGGCACTTAGAACTTTTGTCAATGTTTCTCCCAAAAAAAATTAGAATTTTTTGAATTTTTTTCGATTTTTTTTTGATTTTACTGTTCACCGAGCTCAAATGAGCTCAGTAGCAGAAAGGCACTTTCGGTTCTACGAAATTTACTAACCCAACCCTCCTCCCTCCCAACCCTGCCACCCCTCCTCCTCCTCCCCCCTAGCCGCCCCTCCTCCTCTTCCCTTCCTCGCCGCCGTCTGAGGCAGCCGCCGGGCGCCCGGGTCGCCAAGGATGGTGGCGGCGGGGCCTCGGTTGCCCTGCCTCTGCATGGGGAACTCCTGATCTGAAGCGGCGGCTCCATTGGCAAGGCACGACCGGCTAGCAGTCGTGCGGGCGGTGGATCTGGCGTCCCGGCCGTGCGGGCGGTGGGATCCGGTGGTCGTTGGCGGTCGGCGGCGGTTTCTGCGGTGGCTGGTGTGCGCGATCTGGTGCCTCCCCTCCTCCCCTGTTCGGCGTGCGGGCCATCCTCGTCGGGCCGTGCTTCCTTGGGTCGCCGGTTCTGTACAAGAGGCGCTGCTGGTGACGGGGATCTAGTTCGGGCGAAATCCCTGGTCGGCCATGGCCGACCGCGTCGACGGCGACGCTTGAGGGCGTCGTTCCCCTCCTTGGAGGCGTCGGTATGGACTGATCCCCTCACTTCCCCTTCCCCTAGGTCTCCTGGGCGAAAGCCCGAACTTTGTTGGGCGGCGACGGCGCTCACGGCGCCGTTCCCTTCTTGAAGGCGCCGCTTTGGGAACCTTGGAGCTGGGTGGCACTTGTGGGTGGTGGGCGACGGCGGTGGTGCGGCCCTATCCTAGCTTGGATCTGCGTCTGTTGCTTGAAGATGGACTCGCGTAGGTGGAGGTCGTTGTTTGGCGTCATGGTGGCGTCAATGGCGGAGGTACCTGCCAAGGATGGCACCTCAATCTGCTCTGAAGATGGACCAGTGGAAGATGACGGCGACGACACATGTGAGTGCGTCAGACCGGTTTGTGACCTGGACCCGGTATGTGGCTCCGTCGGGGCCTCCGGCATTAGATGTTAGGCTTAGGTGAGAGGTCTGGGTATTTGGCCCAGTTTGCACCCTTCATCATATGAATTGAAGTAGCGGCAGATGTTGCCAAGATGGCGGATTCAGGCATATCGTTGTACTACTTTGTAAGGTCCTCGAGAATAATCAATAAAATGACCACATGCATCTCCCAGATGCAGAGGCTGGGATCATCCTCCTTTTCTTAAAAAAAAGAAATTTACTAAACTCGGTTTAAGAAAATTGAATCTACTCTAGTGTTAATTTTTTTATAACCTGGTGCCCAAGTGGGTACAGTCGGCGCATACTTGTGGTCAGATCTTTCTCAGAACCCGGTTCTAGTATCAGTTCTAGTTTTTTTTCGAAAACACTAACGCCCACACGTGTGGCAATATTATAACTCGCCCACACGCCTGGATCATCGTCCAGTTAAGTTTGCACGAATCTTGTCACACCGATGCAGTTTTCACGTGTCACGTAGGACAAGGCCGGTGTGTAGGCGTTGAAGAGGTCGTTCACACGCCCCACAGCATGCGGTTGCCAGCTGCGCTGTGTGCGCGAACTAGTTTCTGCCCACACAGCCACCACCTAGTCCACGGGCGTATGGGCAAACTACTTTTCGCCCACACGACAATTGTATGTTGTTTGGATGGCAACTGCAGTTGCGCATACATGGCAACTAGGCAACACACATGACAATTATGAATCGTTTGCTAGACGGCAACTGCAGTTGCGCGTACGTGGCAATCAGATAAACATACATGACAACTGTGATTAACCACACGTGGCAACTAGGTAAACACACATGAAAGCTATTGTTTGACCACATGTGGCAAGTAGTTAATCACACACGACAACTATGGTTTGATTACATGCGGCAACTACCATAAATTAGACATGGCAATTATAGTTAATCAAAACAGAGAGAGTTGCCATGCTTTTACAACCATATTTGCCATCCCGGATAACTACATCTGTCATCCCGGATGGCAACTAAATCGTCATCCCGCGGGTACCTAATGTAGCTGCGTCAGGACATGTGGGCATATTTACTTCGTGCCACACGCGCGGGGTGAGGATGAGTAGTACTTGTTGGACGTGTGGCACCAAGTAGCTACGCCCACACGTGTGGGCAATTCTACTATTCGCCCACACATAGCCCGTATGAACTGCTCCTGCTCATGTCACACACGGTGTGTGGGCGAATGCCTATTATACCATACATGTGGTGGATATCAACGTCCTTTTTTAGCTTAGCACCTCCTTCAATGTTTAGCACTAACTGAAATCAATGGTAAGGTTTCTTAGCACCAAGGTTTGACCAACATAGTCCATGCTTAGAACATCATCAATATAGTCAGTTCTCAGGGCAACTCCAACGGGCAGTCACTAAATTGTTTGGATTGGATAGTCCAAATATCTTTTGCCATCCAACGGTGGTCACCAAATGTCCACGGACTAGTTCGGATGTTTGAAATCCCACAAACTATTTCTAACCATGGGGGAATTAGGGAAGTCCAGACGTCCACGAGCCCCACAATAAATTCACTTTTTTTCCTTTCCTCACTTCTCTCTTCCCTCTAGGGGTGGGCATTCGGTAGAAACCGAAAATTCGGTTTGTACTGTTCGGTTTATTTTTAAATTCGGTTTTGGAAACTAGAAACCGAAAATAGCAAGCTAAAATTGCAAACCGGTTTTTCGGTTAACTGAGACTTTGGTTCAGTTTTCGGTTTATTACCGAACACTGCTTATACTACGCAGCAGCAAGCGCTTCTAGTCTTAGTAGTAAGCACCTCACGGACTTATATCACCCAGCGCCTTGCCCGTTGAGTATTCGCAAGCGATGTGGGACTAAACAAATGTTGCACACTCCCCCGTCTAACAGAAGTACTAGTTTTTGCGTTGGGCCTTGCAGTTAGTGGTGGGCCTAGTAGATCAAGAAAAGTAGAAGTAGTAGTCAGAACGTGGGACAAAGAGCATGCATGGGCCTTCGTAAGATGTGTGGTTGTGGCCTGGACGTGCGCACGCGGCCGCCAGTGTTTTGGCGCTACGGGCGGGACGGAAGCGTACGGAGGGAGCCTCGTACACAGAGTCAGGAAGTAGAGAACTCTGCACTTCGGTTTTTTGTTCAGTTATCGGTTTAATACCGAACTGAGCGATTTAAATTCGGTTATTAAACGTAAAAACCGAATTTAATTGTGGCACTTCGGTTTTGGTATCGGTTCGGTTTTCGGTTTTTATGCCCACCCCTACTTCCCTCTCCATTGGACAAGGGGGGCATTTTGATAAATATGGTTGGATGACCCGGCTATTCGCAGACATGTCTAAATGTGTCCACGAACATTTGATGGGCCTATTAGGTGATTGCTTTTGGAGTGGCCCTAAGGAAACCGAACCAACTCCAATGTTAGCTTTTTCTTGACACCAAATTTTTGACCCACATGTTAGAATATTGTATTTCCCTATTTAACTTTCTCTCACAAATTGGACTAGCTTGGGCCCACTTGTGGTCAACTCTCTCTCTCTCTCAACCTGGTATTAGGACCAATTATAGTTTTTTTTCCTTAGCACCTCTCTCTCTCTCTCTCCGGTGTTTAGCACCCGACCAATTATAGGTTTTTTCCTTGGCACCTCTCTTTCCAATTCTTAGCCCTTTTCCTAGGGACGCGGAGTTTTGGCTCTAGGGAACACATGCTCCATGGTAAATAGTAAATTAGAAACAAATAAGAAATAAAATTTAAAAATTCTGTTTTTCTGTGGATGTTTATGTTAGTGTAACAAGGGCGCTTGCCAACTTCATGCAAAGTGGACATCAGTGCTTCATCGGTGAAAAAAAACAAAATTAAGTGTACCATTTGAAAGTAACATTTGTTGTTTGACTTTTATTTTTTTGCATACATCAACATGCTTAAGTTTTTCCCTTAAAAATTTACAGGTAGCATTTGTGTGTAACAATGAACACATCTATTTTTTTCAAAAATAAAAATGACCTTGGCAAAATACATTTTTGACGTGCAGAAGCATATACTCCCTAGATCCAAAAGCAATATCCGTTTTTCTAGCAACAAGTTTTGATCAACATTGTGGAACTCACTTCGAATCATCGAGGCCCGCTGTTGGGGATATTACCACTGGGCATAAACCGTCCTGCTTGGGCCGGGTTAACGTCATAGTGGTATAAGCAGGTGAAGGCCCAAGGCCTATAGTCGGTTTATAATCTGTAGCTGTAAAACCGACCTGATGTATAACTTGTATTGTAAGTTAGGAATAGAGAGATACCGACCGGGATACGAATATGAACCGGCTAGGACTCTATGGACCGACGGGCGTCACCCGTGTATATAAGGGGACGGCCCGGCGGCGGTTCAAGAGAGAAAAAGACAACTCGAGCCTAGGCGAAGCTTGTTTGCTCCCTAG